GTAGTAAAGAATGCAGAGTTCAGTGGAAAAATAATAGAGAGCATAGTAATAAAGAATGCGCGCCCAGTAGTAAATAATGCAGAGCTCAATAATAAGAATGCAGAGCTCAGTAATAAAAAAATGCAGTGTTCAGTAGTAAAGAATGTAGAGATCGGTAGAAAAATAACGCACAGTTCAGTATTAAAGAACGAAGAGCTCAGTAGTAAAGAACGTAGAGCTCAGTAGTAAAGAGTAACAGAGCTCAGTAGTGAAGTACGCACAGTTCAGTAGTAAAGAACGCAGAGCTCATTAGTAAATACAGGGTAAAGGGAAAGCCTGTATAGTGTTTAATGCCTGAAACCATAGGAGATGGCATGCAGGAAATACATAAATAGTACTTTATGCCTGCCAGCACAGGAAATATTGATTGATCTGCACAGAGATGACATCCCACCATACTTTCTCTTTCTCCAATGCTCTTTGTTGAATCATGTTATTTTGATTCAGTCTATAACTCACACAGCTGACAATTTCCTTAGTTCTCCTGTAACCTGGGGAGTTAGAAGAGTGGGCAGGCTGTGTCACAGACACTGTGACAGGAGCTCCCAAAACTGACACTTATTCTGCCAGCCCTAGATCAGTGTCAGGCATTTCAATTGTAAATACATGACGCTGTTCGTCACCATTACAGATTTTTTTTTAGTGTACCCATATACTTCCTGATTGGGAATCGACACTCTGTTATGGAATGACCCATGTTGAAGGGCATGCATGCTAACAGAACAAAGGTCAGAAAGTGACTACAGCTGGTAACAGACTACCTTGGCCTCCAAGCAGGGATCTTTGGTTCTAAATGATATCCTACAGTTGGAATACCCATGCATTGTAAAAGAGCTAGTACTGGGGCAAGCAACTTGGCAAATACCCACAGGACTTAGGAAAAGCCAAAAGGTAAGAGCCACAAATTGGTAGTGCCATGCTCCAATTGTGAAGCAAAGAACGCTTTGGAGGCCTTGAAATATGTATGCAGGATGTATAGGTACACATCTCAGATTGTCCAGGAAATCCCCTGGGTAAAGTGATGCTATCACAGAATGGATGGATTTCATTTTTAACATTTGTAGGCAAATAAAGGCATTAAGAGCCTTTAGGTGGAAAATGGGCAGGATCCTCCCTTTATATATGGAAATGTCAACAATTATGAGTAAAACCGTTGTAATCTCCAAAGAGGGAGCTGGGATCATTACTTCTTGAGAGAGCAGGCCCTGAATTGCTTGATGAAGGTCTGCTTGATGAAGGTCCCTTTTGTAGAAATGTGACCGAGGGCATGATACAAAAAAAAAAAAGTGTGCAGGAGGGAGACAACAGAACTCTACTTTGTAACCAAGGTTAACCAACTCCTGCACCCATGTGTCCACAGTGTATGCTATCAAAACCGCTGAGAATGCAAACAGATGTTCCTCCTTTTGAGGTTGCAGGTGGGGGGAACCTTCATGCCGATAAAGGCTTGTCAGTGGGTCTGGTGGTCTTGGGTGGCCGTGAGGCCGAAGTGATTTTTGGGGGTCCTGAAAGGATTACTTGGCAGCAGCAAACATGAGAGTATCTTTACTCAGTTGACTCTTGCTCTTTGAATGGTAAGGCATTGCGAACCACCTAAATAAGAAAGAGAACAGGTTTTTTTTTCTATTTTCATGAGAGGTAACACAACTCCCCGTCACCCTGAATTCTTTCCTTACAAAGGACACACCGGCCTGCTTTGCAGTGGGCTCCTTTTCCAATCACTAACTACTTGCATATCCTAGTCTGATTCAGCCAGAGAAGGGGGGGGGGAGGGTATTTAGCACCACTGCTTTCAGAATGTGTCACAAATTGAAAGAGCTGTGACTTGAAACCCCCCCATAGCAAAGTATAAGACTTAAACAGTGCAAAAATGCAGATCTAAGCTGCACTCCATGTGGTGTTCGACTAGTGTAGCTGGAGAGCGCTTGAAGTGACAGCAACTGGCGCCATGCACAATTAAGAAATGAGTACTCACCAGCACTTTCATTTATTAGTGAAGCGTCATATTTGTGAAATACAGCCAATGTTCCAGGGCCTTACCAACTCCGAGTTATCTTTTAAGGGGCCGACATGCTCAGACCTGATTTTTTTACTGTTAATATATTTAAATAATTTTTGGGGGTTAATCTTGCAATCTATGACTTGGTGGCAGTTTTGAAGAATAAAGAACATTTTTTACTTGGTTTGGTATGAAAGATTTGTATACCACAGTAAAATTCACTGGAGGGTAGGCTGTCATTTTTTAATTTGTTTAAATTTTATTTTTCATTTAACCTACCGAGGCACCCGGGACACTTTTATTCTCAGCTGGCCACACCATTTTTTCAATTTTCCCCCATTGTTTTGATTCTCTATTGAGGCATTGCGAACGTTTGTAAAAGACCCCCCAAACCATATATTTTCTGACAGCACTGGGCCGGTAGAATAAAAAAGATGGTGCTACTTATTTTGTGGGTCCTGCGATAATTGCTCAAATGTTTAGCAAATCAATATTAAACCGATAAAAATACACAATTAAATTGATAAAAGCACACTAAAATCAGTATCAGTGCACAATACAAATAGTTGTAAATTTTACATTTAAACAGTAAAAAAAAGTATTGACGCAAAACTGTAAATAAGCAACTTCGATTAAAAATAGTTTGTGAGCTGCATTGGCATGTGTGTTTTGACAAAAATGATACAGGCGAACATTTAATCGCAACAAAGCGTATCGCAACGCGCGGCAAAGCATCATAATAGCTTTGCTATGCGCTGCCACAGTTAAATTAATGTTATTTTAAAACTAAAAAAAATCAAGCACTGCTATACACTCTAACAACATGTATGGTGTGTATGTGGGGGTGTGTGCGTGGGGTTGTGTTTTATTTTCTATTTGTTTTATAATTTTTATTTTTTTTTACTGTTGGGGGGAGTTTTGGGGAAATATCAGGGGTCTAAACAGACCCCTGACATTTCTTTTTTGAAACAGAAAAAGAAATTTAGGACACAAAGTCCTCAATCTCTTATTCTGCAGCCTCGGTTCTAAAAGAATGGAAAGCTCTCAGTAGAGAGGCTTCCCATTCATTCAGAAACTGGGGATAGTACATTATTTAACATCAACCAGTTTCTGAATGGGTAGAAGCATCTGCAGTGGGTGCTACTACCTATTCAGAAACTCATGAATAAACAGGAAGTGATGTAAAGCATATTCTGTTCATTCATAACTGGGACACATAGTACTATGAGTCTCCAGTTGTTTACAAAACATTGGAGTGATCAGCTGATCACTACAGTGTTTGCTCTGCACACAGAGGATTGGTAAATATCACAGATATTTACCAATCCTCTGCTTGGTTATGCACAGAGCCGCTGTCATCCTGAAACTGACAGGATGACAGCGGCTTCTCCTCTCGGCTCGGCTGCAGCTTCTCTTTCCTCACCACTGGGCGACAGTGCTTCCTCCTCTAACTTCCCTCCCCCTTCCTCCTCTCCCCCCCCCCCCCCCCCCCCCACCCGCTGCTGCTGTCAATTTCTCCTCGGATCATCGCTGCCTCAGCCCACACAGGTGGTGAGAGCAGTGGGGATCCAAGGAGAAGCATGGAGCGGCTCCAGGCAGGGAGGAGAGGATGACAGATGCTGGCGGGGGCGCCCAGAATTTTCGTTATTAAGCTCTCATCAGTGGCTTCTCAGCTGCTGATGACAGCTTCTATTTTACAGGGGAGAGTCAGGAGAACCCTTCTGGTATAAGTTCATGGTCACTAAAGCGACCATGAGCTTACAGCAGAAGGGTAAAAGCCACTGACGTATGGCATACCTATGTGGCCAGCTGCAAGCGGTTGCGTTCCGCTGTATGCATGTGTCGGTGGCAGCGAAAGGGTTAAAAGCATAGCGTGCATTGCAATAAAGCAGTGCTGTAAAGCCTTAACATTAGGCTACCCCTCATATTTAAACCTGCCCTTACCTAACCCTGAAATGTAATAACTGTATCTTTCAGTAACTTTGCATGTCTGAATCAATAAATTCCTGAGTGTGCGTGGGTGGTGGTACTGGATCAGATATAATAGGTTGTACCCCCAGAGGGGATACTCAGTTCTGTGGGTTTTGACATATTAATAAAACTCAATTTTATAGTTAAAAGTAGAAAAAAAAAGCTTCAAATGTGTCCTGAAATGTTTGCTGGCTCACCTAGCACATATACAGTCAAAATATAGAAAAAAATCTGACACGTCACAAGATACAGCAACTGATTAAAAAAACAATACCAGTTATCATTAAAAAGCAGTACTTGAGCTCTAATTATTAGGATTTGCATAGACTCAGATTATGTCTTCAGTCTGCTGCAGGCAACAGGAAGCATTTCTTTAATCTCCTTTCCCTCAGTAATCAGACTACAGTTCTGTAACTTTGAAGCAGGTCACGAGATGAGAGGCAATAGCAGAGGGTTGATCTGTATCAGACATTTGCGAACACAGCTAAGAACTGCACAGACACCAGAATTTGTCACCTCTGAGCCAGCATCTCAGTCCGTGAATTAGATGCCTACTCTAGATAAAGCCTGAAAAAGATGGTTTCGTTCTGTGAGTGTAACATTTAAAACACAACATATATTTTGGTTTAATTTAGGGTTAAGTTGATCTCTTGACCATATAAAACCTAAACCAAACCCATAACACAAATCCTAACCTTAACCTAACTTGTAACCTAGGTTAACCCCTTCAAATCCATACTTACCTTGCAACTGCTGAAAGTACCTAATCGTGCATTGAGATTGTCGAGATCAGCACTGAAATCACCAGGTACCTGTGGCAAAAGGAAGCTGGGCCGAGAAGCTACAGCCAAAACTAACAAATCTGTCAATATATACAGTAAATAATCTTATTTTTACATGACATGCTGAACATGTATTTTTAATCGTATTAAAATGGATTCAAGCAAAATGTCCCTAGAAATATGTGGCATAAATGTGTACTGCATCTTACCTCTGTCTGTACCATTGCTGGTCTTTGAGTTCGCAGCATCTTTACTGTTTGGAAAACATCTACAACCCCCTCATAACGCATTCTTTCTAGGACTATACTAAGGGTAATAAATACCCCTGTCCTCCCAACACCAGCACTGCAAATGAGAAAAGAAAATATAGGGAAATATAAAAGAATAAGATCATAACATGAACAGATCCAAAGAGATAAAACATATAAAATGAAGAATATTTTATATATACTATTAACTTTGATAGATCAAATCAAAGATTAACTTTTTGCATTTGAGCTAATGCAGTGGACATAGCTTTGCTGGGTGCCAGTATATTCCCCTACTAAGAAACCCTGATTCTAAGTCCCCATTCACATCTGTGAGTTTAGGTGCGATTAGGGATCCCTACGTCAGAAACTTGCACTTCCAGCAGCAGGAATCCCTAATCTGCTGTTTACACGCTACAGCTGTCATCCGTTCATGTTAACAATTGGGTGACAGCCGCTGCATTTAAACGCCAGCAAACAGCATGCTGTTTGGTAGGCTCGATGCTGATTGGCCGGAAGCTGGCTTCCCATCCAATCTGCATGAAGCTGGCTTCCTGGCCAATCAGTAAGCTGGGCGGCGAGTCATTACCCACCACTCGGCTTCCTGATTGGCCTGGAAGCCGGCTCCATGTTGCCTCGAGGCACTGCCAGTCAGAGGAAATCTCCCTCTGACTGGAAGTTCGAGTATCGGGGGAGGTATCGGAGCATTTGGGCGAGTACGAGTACTTGCCCAAATACTAGGTATCGGTAACGGTGCATCCCTAATACTGAAGACCTGTGGAGACTTTTAAAGTGTTGCCTATAGACAATTTTGGGTACCAAAGTTTTTCCCTATTTAACAGTACCTGCTATTTTGAGGCTTGACATGTTTGATATCTATCTACTCAAATAGATCTCTAGACCTCATCTTTTAGATTTTGCAAAAAAAAAAATTGTATGATATTGAGTTTATATGCATTAAAATTAATTTGAATGCATTTTTTTTATTGAAAACTTGGATTTGATAAACTATTGTGTTAATGTTTGTGACATAAGAAAAACAAAAAAAAGTGTCAAAAACTATCACCATTTTATTTTCTAGAGTCTTTGCAATTTTAGTGAATTGAAAAGTGAAAAGGTTAAAGCAAAGATCTGGCTTTACTTTTTTCTGTCAATCAATATAAAATAAAAGAAATAAATAAAAAACCCACTGTAATTAAGTGTTCTATATCACTAAAACATAAAAAAAAACTTCCAAGGTGGTGACTACTTAGGGACTATATTCTCGTGGTTTGAATTAATAGGAGTACTCAGCATTTGATGAGAACAGCTAAGTCTTTTTTTTGTAAATGAACATTAGAAGTTAATGGCTTATTTCCTACTGTACCTGCAATGGACTGATATCGGTCCATCTTGACCAAACTGTTCCTTTGTTTTGTGTACTTGGCCAATGAAATCAATAAAACCTTCTCCTGATTTTGGCACGCCTTGTTCTGGCCAATCGGTAAACTGAAATTGTCGTACTGTACGAGACTGACCATCCTGTGGAGAGACATGAGATGTCTGGTTATATTGAACAGAGAGAAAAACTGAAACAAGTAAATGTCTGACTAGCTTATTAGCAACACACATTCACGGATATATTTTGTACAGAAGGCTCCAGACAAGGCACCCCATTTATTTCCATGACTCCTGTTCTAATATCTGTAATAATACAGATATTTTCACTTTTAACTTGTCTTTATAGACATACAATTATACTTGTTTTCACTATTATCTTGGACTTTTCTAGTGAGTCTGTAAAGTTCCTCTGTTCGAGCTCCTACAAATGGGCTGAAATTCACAAAAAGAGAGAGCTCCATCTGCTGCCTATATAACATGAAAAATATTCATATAAAATATTTCGTAATGATCTGTCAAGAAAACATTAAATAAAATCTGTTTTTCAGTTTAGACTATTATAAAGTAAGAAAATATATTTTAAACGACTATACATTCTTTTTAAACCAGCATGCTGTATTCCATGCAGTTTTTACAATCTTACCCTGGCATCTGTGACTTTAAACTCTCTCAAAATGTACTGAGGCATGTTGTATTCAGCCATTGGATCCACAACGAAGTATTGATATCGAGCAGATCGCTCAGCTGGCCAATACTGATGGCACTTTTCCTGTATAACAAGTACAATGTAATTAAAAAGCCACCAAAGATATTAGATATACATGTCAATTTGCCATTTATAACATAAATGTAAGTATGCAATTGTAGATAAATTGTAAAAAGTTTAAATAGAACACCTGCTAAAACTGCAATAAAGTGCAGTACATTGGGCTTGATACACTAAATTAAGACATATGCAGACTATGATGTATCTATTTTCTACCTGTCATGCCTGCGGCCTTATACATAAAAGAAATTCTTCTCAGTGGGGATAAAAAAAATAAAGCCGACTAAGGTGTAACCCTTGCACACAACTATCCAAAACTATAAAAATATTTTTGACTTGAATTACCACAGGTAAACGTCCGTAATAGAAGTTATTGGTTATTATAGGTTTTCATGTTCTATTACTGCATTTCTTAACCTTTTTTTTTCAGTTATGGCACCTTTCAAAATAATGCAAAAATTACTTGTCACTCCAGTCTAAAATGTAAACAAATTATGTTTGGTACAACCTGCACAAGAAAGACTAGGTGACTTCTGCTATAGGAAGTGAATGCTGCATTATACAGTATTTTCTATTTTTTATCTGTGGCTGGTTCAGCTTTAAACAGCAAACATGTTATAAAACATTTTACATTTCAAAGTATTTCCCTTATTTCCTTCCTCCTCATCATGCATCAGATATTCTTTATATTTATTGATAGAATGTATCCTAAAAGAATATGCAGTAGGAAAGAATGTTGCTATAGAAGAAAATACTTACTCTGCCAATTTCTCTAAGTTTTGTTAACATTACAACAATTGTGGAGTTATTTTCCCAAAGCATTCTCCAGAAATCTTCTGTGGTTTCTGCAAGAGGTCCTTGTGTTGCAATGTAGGCTTTTTGTTGCCTGGAAAATGCAAAATGACACATTAGTATTTGCCAGGGCTGTCTTTAACACGGGGCAGTTGCCCCGGGCCCAGTCATTGTTGTGGTGCCCAAAGCAGCTGCCCCTTGAGCCCGCAGAAACTTGCCGATCGCATAGTAGGCAACGTTATGGCATACGGCAATGCCATAAAGTATTTTCCTATGCGATCTGCACCATCGCTTAGTAGTCTGCATATATCGCTGGTGTGGCTCCTCCCCTGCCCGTGAAACGTGACATGTAAGTGTCACACAGGCCTCACTGCTGTACGTGATGTCGCGCAAAGGCCGCGCGTCTGGGTGCCTCACACACGTCTAGGAGTGTCAGACGAGACATCCATAAAGCCGACTGAAGAAGAGAATGGCACGAGGACTGGGACTAACTGACTGAGACAGGTTAGAGCTGAGCATTATCTGGCACTGGCAGGCCAGGCAGATTTTGCTTAAATATAATATGAATGTGGCAGACATGCTTGCATTTTCTGATGCCTGCAGCTGCTGGGCTACCCATACACCACCATGGCAAAGTAAGAGCAAATAATTGTAAATGAATTAATGTAAATAAATGTAAATAAATATATACATTCATTTACAGCTGGGTTAATCATTTAAAAAATAAAATAAATACATTTGTTTAGTACTATTAATATAGATTAAATGTTTTTGTTTATTGTGGGTGTGTATTAAAAATAAATAAATGCTGTGGAAGGAAATAAAATAGTTTAGTTTGGTTTAGTAATATTAATACTATTTAATTTTTCTGGGCGTGTACATAATTATAATTTTTTAAATAATATTTACTTTTATTTTAAACACCTTTTTATATGCATTGTATTGCCGTGAAGCTTTGTTATATACTCATACACACTGCACATTACTGTGATTTTTACTGCCGTGAAGCTTTGTTTTATACTCATACACACTGTGCATACGTTATATACTCATACACACTACGAATTACTGTGAGGGGGGGGAGGGGGCAAATGTTTGCCCAGGGTCCAATCAGTATTAAAGATGGGGCTGGTCATTGCACACAATCACAGAGCCATATTTTTTTAAAATAAAATAGGTCATACCTGTATCCATCTATAAAGCTGGCATTAATATAATCTGAACCTTCCACTCCTCTGATTGGCTGCAGACAAACTCTTGTGGTCTCATATGGCATGATATTAACAAGGCGGTTCTTAAATTTGTTGCATGGAAGATTGGCACTGATAAATCTGGAAGTGTGAGCTTTTGAATTGGCAAGGCGCTAAACAAATAGAGAATAATTTGTATTTAATGTTACTTTTTAAAACAATCAAAACTTGTAAAAATGCAGAAGACACACATGCATACTAGATTTTATATTCTTTTAGCACTAAATCCATGCTTTTTGAACACAGTAACAAGACTACATTTCTCATACGATTGGTTTTAAATTAACTTATTACATACCTGTATTATTAAAGTAAAAAAAAATGCCACCAACATCATTTCTTTGAATAAGTAAAAACAAGCTTATGGCTTTAACAGCAGCCTTGAGCTTGTTTCGGTTTTGTTCAACAGACTCCCAACTAGACATGTGCGATTAGTTTAGTTCGAAATTCGGACGAATTTTCGGAAATTTGGAGATTCGGATGTATCCGAATTTCCGAAATGATGAATGCAAACGAATACGAATTTCCGCTTCAGAAATTCACTATCGGTCTGTACAAAATTTCATTTGTGGACGAAATTTCGTTGCAGCAAAGTGACCCTTTTTTTTACAGTCTGCAGAAGAGAAAGAAAAAAAAAAGGCGTGGGGTTGCCCCCCCCCCCCTCAATTGATACCAGACCCTTTAGATCTGGTAGGAGTGTTAGGAGGGACTCCCCAAGTTAAAACAAAAAAAATGTGTGCGGTTCCGCCCCAAAATCCATACCAGGCCCTTTAGGTCTGGTAGTAATTTTAAGAGGGACCCCCAGCCCCAAAACAATGGGGAAAAAAAAGGTCAGGTCCCCTTTAACATTCCTATCAGACCCTTGATCCGAGCACAGGCCTGGCAGGGCAGGAAAAGGGGGGGGTGGTCACAATGTCCTATGCGTGCGTTTATTTACATGCAGATGGGGGCAGCGGGGTTGGTTTTAATTTTTTTTTAGTTTATTTTTTACTTTATCACTTTTATTTTTAAATTTCTTTATATATTTTATTATTTTTTACATTTTTATTTTGTAAATTTTTTTAAACTTAATTTTATTCCTATCACGTAGGGGATTACAAGTCCCTATGTGATAGGTTGGAGGTGACAGGTTCTCTTTATGGAACCTGCCCTCAGACACAAAACAGAAGTTCTGTGCAGTTCCTGACAGGTTGCGCTGTGATTACAGCGCCACGTTCTCAGAGATCACACAGAGCAGACGAAGAATGGACGTTTTTCGTCTGCTCTACACTCTATGGCTGAGCCGCTCTACCGTGTTCTCGGGTCCCCCAGAAGAGCAGGGGGCCCCGAATACCGCGGCGGGGGCGGACACGGTCGCCGATGCTAGTTTGATGCAAGTGGTCCGATTAGATCTCTTGTACTAAACGAGCGGCGGCTCCCCGCTGTACATTTAGCTCTGCTTGTCCGGAGCAGGGCTAAATGTACCAAAAAACTACTCGCCCGGCTCCCGAAACTGCATGTCCCGGGCGTCGGGCGATAGGAATTCCACACCCCTGAGCTTTATTTTCAGAAAGGAGCAGGTAATAAGTAACAATTTTGAATGTTTAATTTAAAAAAAAATTAAAATTAAACTATACCATGTGAATGAGAACATAACAAATATAAACTAGGTGTTTGTCTGCAAAAGTGAAAGTACACTTTAAAGTCTGGATTATTGTTTGTGCATTCAATACATTTCCTGTTGCTAACTTTAGAAACAATAAATTCCTATGAAGACACACAAAAGCAAAGTGACATAAGAAAACTCAGCCTGACAAGTGCCAGTCTGTATATAAGTATTTGCTGGCATATTTAGGAAGCAGAAACTACTGCTTACTCTTATCTAAAACCATTTAATTTTCTGTTGTATACTAGTATATAGAAGCTTTAAACAATGAATTAGGAACACTTTCCAGTCGCGTCATTTAAATATATATTTCGTGCAGTTCTTACCTTGAACTCTAGCTCCATGCCTATAACATGTTCTCCAACCTCAATCTGAGCTAATTTCTGAATATATGTATACAGATTTCTTGCTGGGACTTCTGTGTTCCCACATGCCACAGCTTCAAACAAGGCATCATGAATAAAGCTGTACTGATCTTCTGTCTGTACCATGTAATTCCTCTGTGAGCGCATTAGTGTCACATGCCCATAAATATCTACTGTTTTTTCATGTTTTATTCTTTCTAGCATTGCATCAATTACTATAAAACACCCAGTTCGCCCAACTCCAGCACTAGAAGAAGAAAAAAAGAAGTTCCAACAGTTAATATTAAGATGAGCAAGGTCAGATTTACAAAAGGACTATCATTTTTTTTAGACTTTTGCATGATTCCGGTTATGGGCTGCTCATTAAGACATGCACATTGTTTATGGATAGTAAACTGTGTTTTCCCACAGAATACGCAGAAAGTAACAAAACTCTGGAAGAAAAGTTGCTACAGCTAAACTGAATAGGACAAATTTTCCAACAGTAAAGTAATACATAAAATTCAGTAAGTGCTCACAAAAATTAATGAAGTTCTTAAATTCTCTAACAATTGTGAAAACATGCAGTATAAATATTACCCTTTTGTAATAATGCATGCATATGAATGTGTGAAAACTTACTACTGAAACTGTTACAAAAAGATCAAAATAGAATTCCAAGCAATGTAGAACCAAAAAACTTGTGTTGCTAGGTGGGACAACTTTTTATGGATTACCTCATGTATTTGGGATTGGGAATTGAATACATTTTGTGAGTGCTGATTGATTTTTAGTTATAGTATTTTTGAAAGACATTAAATTTTTCAATTTTGTAATTTTTTTAAACATAAAAGTAACTTGTATTTTGGATTTTTGAATCCTAAGACATTTTCCCACAGATTTAATAATACAAAGACGGTTGAAGGTGGATAAAATACAAGGTATGCCATGACCTCTTAAAATTAGATGCAATAGTTAAGTTTTAGTTTTTTTGGTATGAGTTTCTTTTATCAGAACTCATTTTCTAAAGTAAAAGCACCATTGGGGTGGGGAGGGTTTTTGGCCATAAAGTGTCACAATTACTCTTATATAGTCACAATTGCCTTTGTTTGCATACTATCACAACAGCCAGTCTGTTGCCCCCATGTAGTTATGATTGTCCATTTGTTGCCTGTATATTCTCCCGATGTGCATGTTACCTGCATATTCTAACAGTTGACTGATTGCTGTCTTTGTTTTGTATGTAACTGCCCGACTGCAGCTCATGTATTGTCAGGTTAGCCATATTTTTTTGTCAAACATATTTAAAGTTACAGCTGTTTAGAGGATATTATAACTATATTTTAGTCTCCTGCAAGCCTGTTACTATCAAAGCACACCTCTATTATCTTCAGCATGTGCACTTCTATTAAAGCCGTCAATTATTTAATTTAGCATGCTGTTATCCTCATGCAGTGAAACCTTGGAATTTATTTTATTCAGCACACAGATAATTTTCTCTTCCTGCATCACTATAAAACCTTCAATTTTATTATTTCATTTTTTTTACCACCATCATTTTACAAAGAAGAAAATCTTCACTTTCTCGGGTTCTGCCCTTATTAGTATTCATGTAATCTCATAATTAATATTGAAAAGAATTGGGATACATACAGAAGCATGTGTGTGTGTGTGTGTGTTAAAAAATAGTCCACCTCGGGTGTGAACTATGCTAGCCAACGCATTGAGTAGAGTATAACCTAACCGCAGAGAATCAGCTTAGAATATCTAAACATAAGTTGTGTCTAATTAACAATCTGTATTCATTAGGGCATAAGTTAAAATCCGAGTTTAAAAAAAAGAAATTGTGATGCCAATACCCAGAAATAACTTTCGTTTTTCTAATCTGCTTACCCCTGACGCAAATTTGGCTACAACTGACCAAGGGATTTTTTTTGTTGCCTTCTCCTAAACCAAAACTGCTTCAAGAAGCTGACCTTGATAATAGCTGTGAAAATGTCATGGAAATGCTGTGGTCTAAATAGTAAACATGGCCGAGATAGCCAGTTTATGGTCCTTCTACCTGCAGTGAACAACGATTGGTCCTGCATCAGGAGGATTACATGTTTTTACTCTTCTGAGGAATGCAAGGAATGGAGTTGGGTACTCAGGAACTCCATGGTCTGGCCAGGCTGTAAATTGAAATTGACGGACCTCTCTCTTTTCAGTTGATCCATTCTGCAGAAACAAAATGGACAATTAATTGCCTGCTAAAAAGTTGTTAAAGTGTTGTAAAAAGTTGTAAATCTGTTAGCTTGCATCCAAACTTACCTTATGAAGGGAGAAAGTTCGTACACAAAAAGTTGCCAATTCAATGGTATCTAATAGTGTTACTTGAATAACTCCATAGGTATCTGCACCTCGACTTGGCCAATACTGGTCACATTTAATCTGGAAAAAAAAACCCAGGGAGGTGTGTTATAACATATTTACCAACACCTTCTAGCTCAATCTTCATCTTCCTGTATATTTTAAACCAAGAATATTGCATGATATATCTATTATCCTTTGACATATTTAAAGTGGAACTTTAGCAAAAAGAAAAAAAAACTTGTCACACAGATATCATCCTGTCATTATATCATTTATGAAAATCCCTTGTGAAAATTTGTCTTTAGTTACAAACATTTACCTGGTGATTCACCACCCTAAAGGGGTTTCTCACTCTGACGTTTTTTTACCCAGGAAGGGCTCAATCTTAGAGATGAGGGAAAGCAGGGGGAAAACCTACTTATGCAGCACTAATAATCAATACATAGTGATCTTAAAAGGTACATAAACACCAAAATTCACTAATCAGTAAATACATGTCTCTGTGTGCTGGGTCAAATATGGAATTTGAACAAGAAATGGCTTACATCATTGTATTCTTCAGTTCTTCATAGACTAGCATTGAAAGCTTTACAATATTGTACCGCTATACGGAATATTCTTGGATCTTTAAAATACTTTTTTTTTCTGGAGGGAGTCCTTTTTTGTTAACACATAACTACTCTTTATTTGATGTGATTTACTATTTCCAAAGATGTGGCGCTTTCACTGCGCCCACTTCACCAACCTAATCATGGGTCGGTGGGAGGTGCCACATCTTTGGAGATACAAATGCCAGTTTGAGTTATTTTGCAAGTATATTGATGATCTTATTTTTAAAGTTATCGGAATAGTTCAGTGGATGATGTTTTACATTACTTGAGCATACTTTTATAATTAGCTGTAGTTTACTCATGAGGAACAGGAGACTCATATCAACTATCTAGATTGAATCCTTATTTGAGCCTGTTTGGATAATGGGATGTATGTACAGGCATATCATAAGAGAACTTTGTGGAACTTCCTCCATAAAGTGACATTAAAGTAATTTTTTTCCCCCTCCCCTCAATGTTAATGTCAGCACTTACCTTAAATGTTTCTTAATGCGATCTTCTTCTTTCCTGTCCTTTTCATCTGTCCCTTCAGCGCTACGGCGGATCTCCGATACAGCGCGGACTCCTCTGGGCTTGCTGGCACTTCCTGGTCCCACGGTGTCTGCATGCGGGTGCACGCGTCCATAGACTTACCTTGTGTCTCTCGTCCCGGCCGAAAATGTGAACTGCGCATGCGCCCGTCCCAAGATGCTTTGCGGTCGCCCGAGGATCTTCACATTTTTGGACGGGAGCGCGCAGGGAAGACACCGGTGAGTATTAACCTCTCTTAAAGCGTTTTTTTAAAACACTTTTTGCATAGATCTACTGCTTGCTAGCAGTAGATCTATGCAAAAAAAACGAGAGGGTTTAATTATCCTTTAAGTGTGTGTATAGTTGCAAGTGACGAGGGAGCATGGAGTCGGCTTCCCGTCCAATGAGGAAGCCGAGCAGCGTGTAATGACGCACTGCCCGGCTTCCTGATACAGGAAGTATTGTGCTAGGCATCGGAGCATTTGGGCGAGTACGAGTACTCGCCCAAATACTCGGTATCGGCACAGATACCGATACTAGTATCGGTGCATCCCTAGTATTTACCTTCCTTATATGTTGATTTGAAAAAAATACATTCCTCTGGAGAGCAAACTATTGCAAATTTGCTATCACTCAGTGTATCTCACTCTAAGAAAGCACTATGGGAATATTCAGGTGTGGATTGGCCTGCTGCTTTTTTTTTTAGGGTGATGCCCATGTGGTCCAGTCATACATGAACGGTCGCTCTTTCCATATTAAACATTTAGTGAGCTATCAAACAAGATACAGAATTTACAAGATCTCCTATGTTACATGCCATATTCAATATGATGGCAGGATGACCACACATTTTTGGGACCGTACTGATAACCCCCTTTCAACATCAGGACCAACAAAAAGCCAACAATGCAAAACATTTTATTACTAGACATGATTCTAGTGTTGAATCTTTAAGCGTAGAGGTCATAGAAAGTAATTAGGGGAGGGAATCATTTTTGTCTGCTGAGTAGAAGGTGTATTACATTTTTTTTCTAGAGAGTAAAATTCCCAAAGGGATGAATTTTGGAGGGAATGCCAGCCATATAGAATAGGTTTACATTTTTAATGGGTCTGTATTTTTAATTTTTTTTAAAATTATTTGTGGCTTTTGCTTTTTTGCAATTCGAATGTTTCATCCTTGTTCTTTTTTCTGTTCTCTTCCCTCCTGCAGTTTACCTCCCCACCTTTGTTTGTCTCCCTTTCCATCTCTTCCTTTTGATCCATTACCTTTACTTCTTTTCTTTCCTTATTCCTCTTTGTTTGTTTGCGTTTTAATTATCTCCCCTCCGTCTCCTTTTCCTTCCCCCCTTTTTGGTTTTCATTTCAACTCTCAGCCTTTTTGACACAAATTATCTCACTCCATAGGCATCATCTTAATGAATATTAGTGTACATGTACCTTTAAGATCACTATGTATTGATTACACATGCTGCATAAATATATAAGGTTTTCTGCCTGGTTCCCTCTTCTCTATAATTAGGCCCTTTCTGGGTGAAGCGTGTGTGTAATGAGGGTTTGGGTAGATCTTCTGTGTTCCTGTCTGGAACAATCATGTTTTTTTAACATGCTGATGTAATCTGTTCCTTAGGGTTAGGGTGCAGCTGGTCCTTCTGTGTGTTATATATGGGAAGAACTGATGAGCTACATTCAGCAGGTACTTGTGCCCCCACAGATATGGTATGGAAACTGCCTCCAAGGTGACATATGAATCAGTAGACCTCACCCAGTGCCTGTAGAGGAATAAGCCTAATCCAAGTATCAGGAGTCCCATGACTGCAGGAAACTATTGACAATAACATTATAATAATATAAATCACACTAATTTTGCTGTTAGTTCCATTTGCATGACTAAGTGGGGGCTACTAAGGGGGCAGAGCTTAGTCATGCAGACGGACACTTAGAGATAAAATGCCACATGAGCTAAGTGTGATTTATTTTAAATTTAGTGTGATTTATATTAGAATTATATTAGGGATGTTCAGATACCAAGTACTGTACTCGATACAAGTACAGATATTTTTCCCGCTGCAAGACTAGACTAGAGAAAAATTCAAAAGTTAGGAGGCAGCTGTCATTTTTAAAGAGCATACAGAGCTCCTGGGATTTGTGAATCCCTGTTTTAATGTATGATTTGTTTTATATAAATATATATTAGTATTGCACCAATACCATTTTTTCAAGTATAAGTACTGATACTTGTCCAAGTACTCACAGATACAAGTACTGATACATTTTTGTTTATTGTCATGTGACAGTTTTTCTAAAACAATACAGACTAATGATTTCAGGACAGCGCCAGAGCCAGGTCCCAGATGCAACCCTGGTAGTTTCCGTAAACGACCACCTAAGGAGGTTGTCAATCATGGCCTACCTGCATCATCAGGAATTGGCGGAAAGCATCGTTGGCGTGCATGTATGCAGGAAACCGCCACAAGTAAACATTTGACGTGCGTGGGGCGACCTCACTTGAGAAGGCAATAGAGGCATGACCCGAGCTCACCACATCATATATCTCCGACTCTCTTGCCTTAGGCAACAGTTCAGGAGTACAGAAAAAGTAGTCCAAGCGTGCCAGACAGTCATGAATTGGAGAAAAATGGTTAAAGTCGGCATCCACAGAATGGGACAACCGCCAGATATCGTGCTAATTGAGAGCGGACACCATGGTGGCCAAAGATGACTGCCTGGCAAGCTCAAGTCACCTCGTTTTGGGCACGTTACCAGAGATCCATCTCCTGTCTTCCATCAATTACATAGTGGAATTGAAGTCCCCCCCAATCAAATGAAGAGGCGTACTACATTTTGACAACCAGTGTGTCAGAGTTTTGAAATCCGATTTGGAGGGCGAATTTTGAAGATAGACATTCGTAATGGACAGTTTGGAGGTACCTAGGTCTAAAGTCACAGTCAGTAATCTCCCCTCCGAGTCCCTCTCTACGGTCAAGATAGTATAGTGTAAGCAGGTATGTAATAAAATCATTACCCCCGCTTTTCTACCACCTGATGGCAAACCAATCACTCCCCCCACCCATGATTTACGCAGTCTGTGGAAGCCCCCCTCTTTCAAGTGCGTCTCCTGTAATAGGGCTATGCCCGTGCGCATTCTCTTGAGCTGCCTTAGAACTTGCTTGCGTTTCTGGGGGGAACAAAGGCCCTCAACATTCCACGATACAACTTTCATGTAATAGAGGGCACCTGGTGTTCATTTTGCAAACCTAAAAGATAGTTAGAGACTTGTCTGGCACTAAATACTAGCTGGTCCCCCCGGACCTGCAAAAACACTACCCAGCTATGAGGAAGAGTGGATTTGGGGTAGAGGGGAGCTGTGGACATAAAGGATAGGACAACCCCCCCTCACTGACATGAGGGCAGCAGGATGTGATGCAAAATCAAGCAATACATGGAAGTAGATGACCCAACTTAGTTCAACTATAAACGTCCCCGTTCCCATGGCAGCACAAGTCAGCCTGAACTAACGGCCGGGTGCTGTAATTCTTGCTTTGTTCTCCACACTGCTATTTCTTAGGAAGGGGAGAGCCCTACCTGAAAAAGGGTAATGCACGTAATTTGAGCTCTGCAAGCAGGTACTTCAGTCTATTCTTTTGGATAGTTGAAAAACTATCTGGCGGGAATGTGACATCATACTGATGTCATAGGAAGTTGGGGGCAGTTCTTTACTGTCTATTTGGTGATTAGGTTTTCTGTATAAAGTGTTGCTGGGACTTGTAGTCCTCTATTGCTGGAGCCATTCTGCATTTTTGGAGAAAGTGTTGCTGGGAGTTGTAGTCCTCTATAGATGTTATCATTCTGCCTTTCTGTATAAAGTGTAGCTGGGCGTTGTAGTCTGGTGCCATTCTGAATTTTTGGTTAAAATTTCCTTTATGTTGACATTGCTTTATGGTAATATTGTTAGTTGTTAATATTTATTTTTGTAACTTTATTCTGAATAAAACATATAACAGTGTAATTTCATAAGATAATTTAGAAGGGAGTGTTTAGGGGCGGAGTTAAGGTCAGAGCAGGGTATAGGTTAGGTGGGGCAACTGGTGGCGAGTAACTTTTAAGGCCTGGCTAGTAGATCAGGACTTGAAATTTTGAGCTCTGTAAATACTGTAGATCAGGGCTCAAAATTTCAGGTCCTGAGCTACTAGCCAGGCCTTCAAAGTTACTCGTCGGGGGGGGGAGACGGACGGACGAGGGATCACTGTCATCATGTCGGTGAGGAGGAGAGAAGCCGCCCCCGGGGAGGAGTTGAGTGCCTGACTCTCAATGGCTTCATTTCCACTCGCCCCCACGCAATTTTCACTCGCAAATTGCGTGGGGGCGAGTGGAAATTTTGAGCCCTGCTATAGATCACAATCACAGTAACAACAGCCAAGCAGAATACATCAGCATAAGGCACATAAAGCATATAATTGCACATTAATGCATTAGCTATACTTGCGCCTGTCCATCTCAAGTGACACAAGATGGAGGTTCAGGCGAGTTAACAATGTCAATATTTTCACTCCAATACCCAAAAAAACATCACTGGACCCTACCAACCTCAATAATTTCAGACCTATTATCTACAACCGCCTGAGTTGCCACCTCGCTAATAACAACCTTTTGTACCCCTTTCAGTCTGGCTTTCGCCCCATACACTCCACTGAAACCGCCCTCCTAAAACTCACCAATGACCTACTAACTGCTAAAAACAACGGCCACTACTCCTTACTCTTGCTATTAGACCTTTCTGACGGTTTTGACCCTGTTGACCACGCGCTGCGCCTCAAAAAACTCCACTCGCTTGGTCTACAAGATTCTGCTCTCTCATGGTTCTCCTCCTACCTATCTAAGTGCTCCTTTAGTGTCACCTACAAATCTAACTCCTCCCCTCCTCTTTCTGGAGGGGTCCCCCAAGGCTCAGTCTTTGGACCCCTCTTCTTCTCCATCTACACTTCCTCCCTTGGTCAGTTAATAACCTCACATGGCTTCCAATACCACCTCTATGCCGATGACACTCAAATATATCTTTCTACTCCACAACTCCCCCTCTCAGTGTCCTTGCGTGCCACTAATCTACTAACTGACATATCTGTCTGGCTGTCACAACACTTCTTAAAACTCAACCTTTCAAAAACTGAGCTCTTGATATTTCCTCCACCCCGTGCACCTTCCCCCAACATTTCGGTTGAGATTAATAGCACAACTATCCATCCCTCCCCTCATGTCAAGGTCCTAGGTGTTATCCTTGACTCGGACCTCACCTTTCTTCCCCACATCTAATCACTATCCAAATCTTGCCGCCTTCACCTTCATAACATCTCAAAAATACGCCCCTTCCTTACCAATGAAACCGCTAAATTACTCATCCACTCGCTTGTTATCTCTCGTCTTGCCTACTGCAACTCCCTCCTCAATGGCCTACCTCTACACAGGCTATCCCCCCTTCAGTCCATCATGAATGCAACTGCTAGACTCATTCACCTGACCAACCCCTCAGTGTCTGCAACCCCTCCTCTATCAATCCCTACACTGGCTTCCACTTACCCAAAGGATAACATTCAAAATATTAACAAGCACTTATAAAGCCATCCACAACTCTGCCACCAGATATATCTCAAACCTTGTCTCAAAATATCACCCTAACCGTCCATTCCGCTCATCCTAAGACCTCCTGCTTTCCAGCTCCCAACTCATCCCATACTCGCCTCCAGGACTTCTCTAGAGTCTTTCCCATCCTCTGGAACTCTTTACCTGTCCGTCTATCTCCCACCTTGACTGCCTTTAGGCGTTCCCTAAAAACTCATCTCTTCTGGGAAGCCTATCCCACCTCAACCTAACCACTGAACCATCACGTTCTAAAACAATGCATCCCCTTATAGCTACCTCCTCGTGTATCACTTCTCCCTCCCTTTTAGATTGTAAGCCTTCATGGGCATGGCCCTCCTTACCAGCTTGTCTTGAATTGTATTGTGATTGTAATGTCTTTCTTATATTATAAAGCGCTGCACAAACTGTTGGCGCTATATAAATCCTGTATAATAATAATCATTTTTGCAGGGCTTGCCCCCCCAATTTGTTTGAGGTTCTGGTGAATTTACGTGGTGAGCGCAGAGGTGGTGGAGGCTTGGAGGGAGACCCAGAAGTCGGCTCCAGAAGATTCACCGCTGCCGCGACCTCCAATAGATCCTGGAAGGAGAGACGCCTACCATCTGCAGCATCAAAATAGTGAACGGCCAGATACGCCAATGTGAACATGATTTGTCTCCGGACAAGAGCAGAGCAGACCGCATTGACGGCTTTGTGTTTTTGGCCTCTTCAGCGGAGTAATCGGCAAATACAAGGAGGCGGTGAGCGTCCACTTCGAGGGACCGTGACGTGCGGTATTGTTGCAGCACTCTCATCCTGTCTGCATAATTGAGATATGCACAATTACCGGTCACGGTGCTGCATCCTCCTCCCTTGGTGGGCCCAAGCCAGGCACCCGCTCTACCAAGCAAGGCGATGGAATTATGATTTCAAAATGTACTGTTTATTTTTAGTCCTGATAAAAGGGAACATATAAAAGGCCAATAAAACACATTGGCTTACGTTATATGCGGAAATAAATATTCTCTTTCTGGACTCATAACAAGCAGTGTAGCCCTTCATTCTTCTTCTTTGTGGATCTCCCAAAGTGCTCCCTTGTGGCACTTTATGGTATTTAGTGCTGCCTCTCAAGGGATATTATACTCCTCCCCATAGCCTTCTATTTGACCAAAACAGACCAGAGTTTTTTGGATTTAATGCTTCCAATCCACTTGGCCACATCAGCCAAACACAAAGTGACTGGTCTGTGTTGTTGGTTCTCCCCCAATCATAGGTTGGGGGAGAGCCAGTTCTACAGCAAACACTCTATAGAGGTCTATAAAAAAAAAGGCAAACATGAGGAGTATAGCAGCTCCTAGAAGAGAGAAATTATGTCAAGATCTCTAGGTCCAGCTTTACAAACCACTTTTCTATTCTGAGGTCTATATTTGCTATATACAGGGGATGAGGAAAGCAACAGAAGGGCTATAAAGCTGTGGGTTCAAGGTAATATGTACTTGCCCTTTGAAAAATAGTACACACAAAAAGAAAAACCTTCCAAAACTACTCACTCGAGACTTCTCCTCCAGTCGTGTCATCATCACTATAGTGGCAGAACGCTGTTCCCATACCATGCGCCAGAAGTCTCCAAAGGTGTCTGGCAAAGGGCCTTGCGTTGCTATGTATGCATTTTGTTTTCGGTATCCATCAATATAGTTAGCGTTGATGTAGTCACTGCCCAGGATTCCTGCAAGAAACAAGAACTATTATGTATTTTAGGAAATTAGAAACAGGACTCAATTAAATTATTGTTCAAAAACATCTGGTCCCCTATGAAAAGAAATCCCTCAAAAAGAAGATGGTCTGGTGAATAGATCACAATTAGTTAAGTAATATAACAAATGTAATGATTAATAAACACATAAAGATACCTATACAAAACATTTAAAAACATTAAAACAGCTTCCCTAAATCACCCAAGTGAAATGATGTGAATGTTCAGATATATAAATCTCCTAAAAAAGGGGGGGGGCAGGAAGTCTCTGGTGCAGGTACAATGAAGATATATCAAAAATAGACTAGCCGAACTGTACTCACGTTGTGTTTGTAACTCGTGGTGGAAATAGTACTTAATATGTCTCACAACGATATTTGCAAGTGGACTGTTTCACAACGTGGTATCCAATTGTAGCAATTTCCTTTTCAAAGGGATCCGCTTCAGTAGCGGAGCAGTGGTTCCTTTTGTTATGCTTCTTCCCCCGTCTGATTTATATCACTGTGTGGGATTGAGTTCCAATTTGAGGGAGAGAAGCCATAGGGAGAGTGTCCACTCGTGCGGCCGCACTGTGGGATGAAGTTTGATAAACTCGGCAGCTGCACAGATCCCCATAATGGATCACTTAATGTTCGAGTGAAAGCAGGACAGGGGATCTGTGCAGCTGCCGAGTTCAGTGGATTGGACAATCTCGATGCGGTCTTTGCCTGAGCACAGCGGCAATAGATTGTACTCACTGTGGCCGAGACCGGGAGACGGGAGTGAATCCCTGTCAGTGTAACATACACAGTTCCTATTCCTCCCCGGGTCACTGAACACACTGCCGAGAGGACTTTATCAAACTTCATCCCACAGTGCGGCCGCACGAGTGGACACTCTCCCTATGGCTTCTCTCCCTCAAATTGGAATTCAATCCCACACAGTGATATAAATCAGACGGGGGAAGAAGCATAACAAAAGGAACCACTGCTCCGCTACTGAAGCGGATCCCTTTGAAAAGGAAATTGCTACAATTGGATACCACGTTGTGAAACAGTCCACTTGCAAATATCGTTGTGGGACATATTAAGTACTATTTCCACCACGAGTTACAAACACAACGTGAGTACAGTTCGGCTAGTCTATTTTTGATATATCTTCATTGTACCTGCACCAGAGACTTCCTGCCCCCCCCCTTTTTTAGGAGATTTATATATCTGAACATTCACATCATTTCACTTGGGTGATTTAGGGAAGCTGTTTTAATGTTTTTAAATGTTTTGTATAGGTATCTTTATGTGTTTATTAATCATTAAATTTGTTATACTACTTAACTAATTGTGATCTATTCACCAGACCATCTTCTTTTTGAGGGATTTCTTTTCATAGGGGACTAGATGTTTTTGAATAGTCTATTTGAAACCCTGAATTTTGGTCAAATACACACATATATATATATATATATAGTATTGTCTTATTTAGCGTTAGACTCCTTTTTTGTCCCCTTGCCTTTCTAAATCAATTAAATTATTGACATTAAGATTTTAACGAATAATATACAATTAACTTTCACTATTCGAAGTACAGGCTCATGATTATACAAGGCAATCAGGATTAAAGTGCATGTAATACTGTATTAAAAAAATGTGATCACCTAGGGGCATGTGTCAATGAGCTTTTGTTTGCATCAAATAGGTTTTGAATTCTCAAACAAGTCTATGGGAATGCAAAACCTTCTTTAACCGCTTCCTGTCCGTACACAAACGGTCGGACAGGAGCCTTCTAGATGCGGGTGGGCAATTTAAAACATCCTTCCCCACCCCTACTCGTGTGCGCCGATGATCTCCCTCTGATCTCCTGCCCATTCTCTGAATCCTGGAATTGATGTATATTACATCACTTCCGCATTCAGCTGTGATTCCCGGCAACAGAACCTGGAGAGAGGCTGGTGAAGCAGGTCTCTGCTTCATAAGCTTCTTTGGGGGTCCCTAGGTGACATTAGGGGTCTTAAAGACCCCTGATGTCTCCATAAAGAGGACTTGTTACTGTAAATTGGCTATCACATAGGGGGCTTGTTAGTGGTAAAAGCTTTTAAAGAGCCAATTTTGGGTATGGTATTTTTTTGTGATTTCCCAGGAGTGTGCAATTCTTGACGTGTTTGGTGCCTATTTACCCGACGTGACCCCATCTTTTATATTTTACCAAAAAATGTGGGTAATAAAAATGCTGTATATTATAATGTTTAGGGAAAACTGTTTTTTTTTTCTTCAAAAACTTCGGTCCTTTTTTTCGTTAAATACTAAAAAATAAATACCACCAAAAGAAAAATCTATCTGTCCCCAAAAAATGGTATAAAATTCATTTCAGTACAGCGTTGCATGGCTGAATAAATGTCAAAGTACCGCAGCGTTGAATACTGAAAAAAGGCCTGGACAGGAAGGGGGTTTAACACCCCGGTCTTCGATTGGTTAGGAAGATCAAATGCAGGTCAAAAACACCTGTAACTGAATTCTGAATGATCTCAGAAGTGTCTCAAACTGATGTTAAACTGATGAAATTGACACAAGCCCAAAGTCCGTTGACACAGGCTCTAATGGTCTCATCAATTCTACTCCACAACTTCCTATAATACAAGAAAGACAATCAAGTATATTAGTTAAAAAAAAATAAAAAAATCTATCTATCTAAAAACCCTGAAAACAGGGTAATAATGACAGATTACCCTTTACCACTCATAGGAAGGAAGATCAAATTAGGCTCTGCATTACTAGTATGTGTTTCCTGCCTGGAATTAATATGCTATCTGTTTTGACATTATTTTACCTTACCCTATTACAAGCCAGCCTACACTTCAAAGCTAATTACATCTAAAAGCAAAATACAATTTAAAAAAATGGTGCAAATTACAAAAAAGGTATTGCTATCAAATATCGCATCCATAACAGAATAGAACCTGAAAATAAAATGAAAACATTTTTTATTAATAACCTTGAAGCCCATTTCCACCTTTGCAGAGGCATTTAAAAAAAACAACATATGCCAGCAATGTACACCAAGTGTACATGAAGCAGGCATATGCAGCTGATGAATATGAACACAGAAACTTAAATTTTTTGTTAGCTTTCCTCTTAATATCCGCATATCTGTGCAAGAATTGTGTGTATACCTTCCCCCCCTCCGGACAGTTTATTGTGTGTAAAGGCATAGCTGATGTTTACTGATCATGTTATAATGGGTGACAGGGAGGGGGACAGCTGATTAGAGTCTGACATCCTGGTGCCAGACTGATTTTCCTGAGGAGAAAATTTTTAGGCTTCAGGCCCAATAAAACCTTCATTAAAAAAATGAAGAAAGCCTGCAATGTGAGACATGTATACATTATCACTACACCTCTTCATTACCACAATAAATGCTAATCACTTACATACACTATATTGCCAAAAGTAATGGGACGCCTGCCTTTACAAGCACATAAACTTTAATGGCATCCTAGTCTTAGTCCGTAGGGTTCCATATTGAGTTGGCCCACCCAGCTTCAACTCTTCTGGGAAGGCTGTCCACAAGGTTTAGGAGTGTGTCTATGGGAATGTTTGACCATTTTTCCAGAAGCGCATTTGTGAGGTCAGGTACTGATGTTGGATGAGAAGGCCTGGCTCACAGTCTCCGCTCTAAATCATGCCAAAAGTGTTCTATCAGGTTGAGGTCAGGACTCGGTGCAGGCCAGTCAAGCTCCTCCACTCCAAACTCGCTCATCGATGTCTTTATGGACCTTTGTGCACTGGTGCGCACTCATGTTGGAACAGGAAGGGGCCATCCCCAAACTGTTCCGACAAAGTTGGGAGCATGAAATTGCCCAAAATATCTTGGTATGCTGATGCCTTAAGAGTTCCTTTCACTGGAACTAAGGGGCCAAGCACAACCCCTGAAAAACATCCCCACACCATAATACCCCCCTCCACCAAACTTTACACTTGCCACAATGCAGTCAGGCAAGTACCGTTCTCCTGGCAACCGCCAAACGCAGACACGTCCATCAGATTGCCAGATAGAGAAGCATGATTCGTCACTCCAGAGAACACGTCTCTACTTCTCTAGAGTCTAGTGGCGGCGTGCTTTACACCACTGCATCGGACGATTTGCATTGCACTTGGTGATGGAAGGCTTGGATGCAACTGCTCGGCCATGGAAACCCATTCCATGAAGCTCTCTACGCACTGTTGTTGTGCCAAACTGAAGGCCACACAAAGTTTGGAGGTCTGTAGCTATTGACTCTGCAGACAGTTGGCAACTTCTGTGCACTGTGCGGTTCAGAATGCGCCGATCCCGCTCTGTCATTTTACATGGCCTACCACTTTGTGGCTGAGTTGCTGTTGTTCCCAGTTGCTTCCAGTTTGTTATAATACCACTAACAGTTGACCGTGGAGTATTTAGTAGCAAGGAAATTTCACGGAACACCTGAATCCATTGATTTGGAGGGTGTTCCAATACTTTTGCCAATATAGTGTAGGTGGAAATGGAATTTAAAGGGTAATTCCAGATTCCCAGCAAATGTGGGAAAGCAAAATTACTAAGGATGCACCGATACCGATACTAGTATTGATGCCGATACCGAGTATTTGGGCGAGTACTCGTACTCGCCACAAATGCTCCCGATGCCTATCCTAAACTTTCATTATTAGGAAGCCCGGCGCTGCATCATTACACGCTGCCCGGCATCCTGATTGGCCAGGAAGTCGGCCGGGGGGAGTGGTAATGATTCACCCCACGGCTTCTGGATTGGCCGGGAAGCCGGCTTCATACTCCCTCATCACTTGGTGACTAGGAAACCTGGAGCCAGCTTCCCGGCCAATCAGGAAGTCGGGGGGCGTGTATTCACTTGAGGCCCAGCTTCCTAATTGGTTGGGAAGCTGGCTAATCAAGAAGCAGGGTGGTGAGTGATTAACCTAATGTTAACATTTTGCTGGGCTGGGCATCTTTTTCAGAGAAACATCTGGACCAATGTGATCAACGTGACCCAGGAGATTTACCTTTCAAACAAGGCCATTATTACTTACGTTACGTATACCTGTCTGTACCAAACTAGGGTAAATTACATTTTATTACATTACAGAAAAAGCTAAAGTATTCGTTTCATAAGAAAAGTTGAGATTTGCAATTATCCTTGCTGGATTGTTTTGGTATGTGTTTTACTAAAGTAACCTTAAAGTGACATTAAACCCTCAGATTTTTTAACATAAACCAATACTGTAATGTGTGCCTTACTGTAATCCATGGTTGTTTCACTTCTCTTTGCTGCTCTTCCTTTTAAATCCTCATGTCTTCTCATGCTTGGGGAGAACTTCCCTTTGCAGAGTGCCTCTTCCTGTAGTGCTGGCTCAGGTTGCAAGCCTACACACAGACACTGTGTATCCATTCCAGAGACAAGGCAGTCTGCTGCAAAACATAAGTTCTGCCCAGCATGAGAACAGATACAGATTTAAAAGGAAGAGCAGCAAAGAGAAGGGAAACAACCAAGTTATACATGTTAACCTAACTCTAAAGAAGACTATTTATTACATAGAGTTAGATTTCTGTATTGAGCATTTATCTACCTTCAACAGGCATAAGGATAACCCGAGAGTGATCGTAGGCAATCACATTAGCATAACGATTTTTCGGTTTGTTGACTTCAAGATTGGAGTGCTCCCATGTAAACTGCTGTCCAGGATCAATTGACTGAAAAAAACAGTTTAACATCGAGTAGTGAAAAATCATGCCATATACCGTTTATGAATATATTAAACAACAATATTATAAAAACAGGAATGTTAAAATATAAAAAAATAGATCTAACCTAATTTTTATACTTACATAAACTACAGTTATCTCTTTAGTTCAGGACAGTGCGGGAAAGAGTTTACATTTCTGTGAAGTATTTTGTCGACACCCAAACATAGAATGTGTGCAGGCATCCCCAGACAAGAAAGCACAGACATTAATGAAAACATTGCCAGAGTTTACTTTTATTAAAAATATGCTTTCTTTGTGTGTCCCCATTGCAGAGATTTCCCATCACTTCCTGTTCTGCTCGTAAGTGAAGAGAAATCTCCACAATAGGCACACAAATAGAAAACAAAACCAGGAGGTTCTTCTTCGCTCTATCCAAAATGAAATAAAAAATTTGTGCTTTATGGAATTTGGGACAGATATAAAAATAACAATTACTGTAGATCTGTGTTCATTCAATGCCATGTATATTTAAAAGGCAGCTAGTGTAAATACAGGAATTTGTCATAATATTTTCCTGTATACCCTGTAGACCAGCAATCGGACCAGAAAAAGGAAGGTCAGCACTACCAGCTAGTCAGGCTATGCTGCAGTGCTCTCACAAGCAGGGTTTCTAAACGAAAAGATTCAGCAATTTGTGGGTGTTCTTCAGTAAGCTCTGCTGCTGCATTGGAGTATAAGGAACTGACTGTGGTGCGTGAAAGGATCCTGAATCTTCGTTATGGATGCACAGATTTACAAGTCAATTGTCAAGTTAATAATTTACATACATTATGTGTATTTCAAGTGTGTATTTTGTTTTAAAGAACTTAAGTCTAATGGATAAGCAGAATATAATTTTAAAATCCACAAGCTTCTGCTTGCACAAAAGTATTACATGAATTATAAAATAATGTGTAAACTGTATACACACTCTGCTTCTTACCTCATACTCCTGAGATAACTTCAGGTTATCATTGGCTTTTAGGTGTTCTGTGTGCTCAGAAAGTTCAGAAATTGGAATTGGTGGATGATTAAGCATGCCTGGAAAAAAAAAGAAAATGAGGAAAACAAAATTTAATTTACTCTAAGTTATTAAAACAAGGTCAGAGAAATGCTTTGAATGCGAGATCCTCAATGGAAGGACATATGTTAGAACCAGTTTATAGTCAAGGATCTAAATTTTATTCTAAAAGTTAGAAAGCACATCTACAGTCTACCAATGAATCCATATTCTTTGGGCCACTTTTGCATTTACAAAATAGGGTGAAAGTGATTCAGTGGCCAAGTATGTCTCCTGATCTGAACCCAATCGAACACCTATGCGGAATTCTGAGGAGACAAGTTGAACATTACTCTCCATCCAGCATCCAGGCTCTAAAAGAGGTCGCTCTTGAAGAATGGAAAAAGACAGAAGTTGCAATATGTCGCCAACTTGTTCATTTCATGCCTAGAAGACTTGGTGCTGTCCTTACAAATCATGGAGGTCACACAAAATACTAGCTGTAGTAGTTTTTGTTGTGGGGTGTATTCATTTTTGCTTTGCCTAATTTGCCATACAAATTAATTTATATATATACACACACACACACACACACACACACACATCAGAGTATAGCATCAAGTCAATGAAATCCTGGGATATTGATCAGGTCAGTTAAGTAGCAGAGCGGGTTGTTAATCAGTTTCAGCTGCTTTGGTGTTAAAGGAGAACTATGGGGTTAAGGCTTTCCCCCGTAGTTCTCCTTAGGGTTACGGGAGGACACAAACTAGCGTCCTCCCGTCAACCTAGGCTCAGTGCTCGGTATACTGAGACGCGACAGTATACCGCAACCTGCTTCTCGCGGTATACTAAGATGCCGCAGCTGAAGCGTATTCCGACAATTATGTCTGGATCCGCCCAGCTGCATGACTGACAGCTGGCTCTGCCTACCTAGAGTCAGAGCCAGCTGTCCCCGCCCCCGAGTGTTCGCTCACCTCCCGATCTACTGAGCCGACCTGTGACCGTCTCATTGTCACAGGTCGGCTAGAACTATGAGGTGAGTGAAAAGCACTCACCTCATAGTTCTCCTTTAATTAAATTAACAACAGTTGCACTAGATGGGCAACAATGAGACCACCTCCAAAACAGGAATGGTTTTACAGGTGGAGACAACTGAAATTTTTTTCCCTACTCATCTTTTCTGACTTTTTTTTTAACTAGTTTTGCATGTGGCTAGAGTCAGTGTCACTAGTGGTAGCATGAGGCAATACCTGGACCCTATAGAGGTTGCACAGTTCTTGCTGCTAAGGGTGGCCCAACCAGTTATTAGGTTTAGGGGGCAAACACTTTTTCACACAGGGCCATGTGGGTTTGGATTTTGTTTTCCCTTAATAATAAAAACCTTCCTTTAAAAACTGCATGTTGTGTTTACTTTTGTTATCTTTGACTAATATTTAAATTTGTTTGATGATCTGAAACATTAAAGTGTGACAAACGTGCAAAACAATGAAAAATCAGGACGGGGACCAACACTTTTTCACACAACTGTATATATACACACACACACCTACACGCATATATATATATTGTGTGTGTGTGCTCGCGTGTGTGTGTATATACACTGAGTGGCCAGATTATTATGACGACCCCATCAGTACTTTGTTGGGCCACCTTTTGCCTTCAATACTGCAGCGATTCTTCTTGGCATTGACACCACGAGATGTTGAAAGGTGATGCGAGGAATCTTACACCATGCCTGATGAATAGCACAAACCAGTTCTGTGAGATTTGATGGTTGTGGAACCAGCTGCCTGATGGCTCTTTCAACTTCGTCCCACAAATGCTCAATTGGATTGAGATCTGGTGATTGCGGGGGCCACCTAAGCAAGGTAAAGTCTCCCTCATGTTCTTGAAACCACTCCTGCACAAAACGAGCACCGTGGCATGGCGCATTGTCTTGTTGGAAGAATGGCTAGGGCCCCCGTGCAATGCATGGATTTATTGGCTTGCGTGGATGCATTTGTTTTGAACGCAGTATATGAAAGGAACGTGCGTTTGTTATCTCTAGTGCGCCTGATCAACCGCTGGAGATAATATGACGTTGTCCCTGTAAATAAGCACGCATGAGAATCATAGTAACGTAATTGGGCATTGAACACTGAGCAATGCTGGATAAGGTTCTCTCCAGTGGTAATTGGAGATGATATGTTGATATGTAGTGAGGAAGTGATGTTGGTTGTTGACATCACTTCCTGTTTGAAATCACTTCCTGTCTGACATCACTTCCTGTTAGGCAGCTATAAAAATAAACAAATACCTGTGCTGGCTCTCTAAGAATGGAACTAGCAAGAAAGCAACACCTGTCTCCTGTGTCCTAACTCTACATGCTTCTACAGAGGTACTTCCAGTCCTTGCACAAAAGAGCATAATACAACTGTGCTTTTAAGCACGGGGGAAATTCTGTGTGTTTGACATACTTTGGCGCAGTTTAGTGCGGCATGGATTTGTGCGTTGAACCAAGCGAATTTCCATAACAACACACACACACACATATATATGCACACACACACACACACACACACATACATACACGGTCATGGGCAAATATATTGGCACCACTGCATTTCTGTCAGTTAATGCACCACTTTGCGCAGCAAATTGTTGCAATTACAAATGTTTAGGTACCCTTAATTAATATTTGGTAGCACAGCCCTTGAAAAAAATAACTGAAATCAATCGCTTCCTGTAACCATCTGAGTTTCTTACACCTCTCTACAGGAATTTTGGACCACTCGTCTTTCACCAACTGCTCCAGGTCTCTCAGATTGGAAGGTTTCCTTTTCCCAACTGCCGTTTTGAGATCTCTCCACAGGTGCTCTATGAGATTTAGATCTGGACTGCTGGTCAATCTAGTACTCTACATTGCTTTGCCTGAAACCATTTCTGGGTGCTTCGAGTCACTGTCCTGCTGTAAGACCCAACTTTCTGACACTGGACCCTACATTGCACCCCATCATTCTTTGGTAGTCTTCAGATTTCTCAATGCCATGCGCACAGTCAAGCCATCCAGAGGCAGCAAACAACCCCAAAACATCATGTTCCATGTTTAACTGTAGGGACTGTACAAGTCACAATGTTTGACTTTCTTTCTTTAAAGGCTTCATTACTTTTTCTGAAAACCGTAGAATGATGGGCTTTACCAAAAAGCTGTAATTTTGTTTCGTCTGTCCACAGCACATTCTGCCAAAAGGATTTTGACTTCTTCAGGTACGTTTTGGAAAACTCCAATCTGCCTTTTTTTGTTTGTGTCAGCAGTGAGGTCCTCCTGGGTCTCCTACCATAGCGTCCCTTTTCATTCAGATGGTGACATACAGTGCGAGCTGACACAGTTGTACCCTGTGCCTGAAGGTCAGCTTGAATTTGTCTGGAAGTTGAACGAGGGTCTTTATCCACCATTCGAACAATGCTTTGTGGCAATCTTTGATCAATTGTTCTTTTTCGTCCACGTCCAGGGAGATTAGCTACAATGCCATGGGCTGTAAAGTTCTTGACAATGTTGTGCACAGTGGACACAGGAACATTAAGATCTCTGGAAATCACAGAAACCTTGAGATCGGCCATGCTTTTCCACAAAAACTTGGAATTCAGTTATTTCTTGCAATTTGGAGGCGGTGCCAATAATTTTGCCCAGTCCATTTTTGGAGTTATGCGTGGAACGTGTCAGCATTGGCTTTTTTTTTCTTCACTGTTATGTGTCATACCAATACAAACAACAGAAATGAACATGAGAATGCCTAAACATTTGTGATTGCAACAATTTTCTGCGCAAAGTGCTGCATTATCTGACAGAAATGAAGGGGTGCCAATATCGGGTTTTGCTGCCATTTTTGGCCCCCATTGGTTTGCCAGCCCTTGGCCGGTAGAAGTAGAGGGAATAGTGGCATTTTGTCAAACATCCTCGTTATTCGAGATCTATCCCATAGTAGCTGCAGCTAAAGCATGGGGCCCGTCATGGTCAGGACATAGTCATATTCCACACAGATAATCAAGAAACTGCAGACATTATCAACAAAGGTAGATCAAAGTCCCTGATGATCATGTGATTTCTTCGTAGGTTGACATGGCTCTCCCTTCAACACGAGTTCAATATAATTTGTTATTACATTCCTGGTGTATGTAACGTGGCGGCTGATGCTCTGTCCAGAGTAAAATTCCATATTTTCTTTCAACAGAACCCTGATGCATACGCGGTTCCTACGCCAGTTCACGTATTCCAGCATCTAGTTCTGGACTAGAGAGGCACCGGTAAAACGCAGCTAGGTTAATCAATAACTCCGTCAAATAATACCCACAAGGCATACGATGTGGCGCGGAAAACTTTAAATTTCTTCCAGGGCAAATACGTTACTCAAGATCCCAGTAGTATAGCTTACATATTAGCTTTCATCTCATACTGTCATTCGGACCTCAAACTTGCGTACAATACCATCCTATTATACTTGGCAGGTATGCAACATTTCCTTGCATTAATTTACCCAGATAAGACAGTCTTTGTTTTCCGCGCATCCTGTCCTAGCCATTCTCAAAGGCATCCAAAAATTAGGTAGCCGATTGCGTGGTACCAGGTTACCCATATCCGGCCACTTATTTAGGGCCATGTCTGTCATTTTGGATAGATCCCCGTTCGGTGATACCCAAAGTGTAGTTTTGAAAGCTGCAATCGAATTTACCTCCCCTAGCTCCAAATCTGTCCCGGTGCCCAAGAGGAACTTGAATCGTTTCCCTAACTATTACTTGTTAACTCTTGAGCGTTGCAAGACGAATCAGGTAGGTGCACCGACACATAACAAGTTATTTCCCTCTGGCAATGCTTGGTGCCCAGTCTCAGTGCTGGATTGTCTCATGGCCAAATTGTCACAGATACTGCCGCATGGGCCTTTGTTGCCTTTTCCAAGTGCCCCTCTCTCCTCACAGCAGTTCATCTTACACATCCGCCTGCTCCTTGGGCAGTTAGGGGTCAATCCTAAATGCTATTCCGGGCACTCGTTTCGCATAGGGGCAGTTTCAGCAGCCTCCCGGCATGAAGTGCCTGCTCACGTCATTAAACGACTGGGCAGGTGGAATTCTGCATGCTTCAGCAGGTACATTCCAAATCCACAAGTGGAGATGGCAAAAGCATTTTCTAAGTTGGCTGTATAATGTAGTCACGAATAAAGATCCATTATCTCTAAATTGTTGGATTTTGTCCCCTTATTGGCGTACTGTCCATCTGGACCATGGCACACCTCAGGTCGGTATGTTTGTCTATTTGTCTATTTATTTCTGTGCACAGGAAGGAAACACATACATGAGTCATCGGGCATTCCGGTCTTCAGCAGTTCCGTGCCATGCATGCGCATTCCGAGTACAGGTAAGCAGACTCTGATTACAAGTTTGAAGGCTAACTTGTTAGCCTGGATTTGTGGGAGGAGTCTGCGCCTTCACAGCCCTCATATGCCGCCCGCTCAGGCTTCCGGGGACGTGAGGTGTTCAAGCGTGACCCTCCCTTCCCCCGGTTTTCACTCACCACATACTCAGGGTATGCCCCCTTATTGGCGTACTGTCCACCCGGACCATGGCACACCTCAGGTCGGTATGTTTGTCTACTTGTCTATTTATTTCTGTGCACAGGAAGGAAACGCATACATGAGACACCGGGCATTCCGGTCTTCAGCAGTTCTGTGCCATGCATGAGCATTACAAGTACAGGTAAGCAGACTCTGATTACAAATATATATATATCTATATATAAAATATAGATATATATAGATATAGATCTATATATATATAGATATAGATCTATATATCTATATATATAT